GAAGTCAAGCGGACAACTTAGATGCACGGAGAACCAAAGTGACAACCATGGGATCCATACTTCCGGAGTGGAAAAATAAAGGTTACGGGTTTTCTATACCCTAGTCGACCCTTTGTTTTCTGTCCATGTACAAATAAAATAATCAAAGTTACAGTATGGCATGTTTATATGTTTAAAAAATTGAAGAAAAGGAATGAGACACGATTTTCTTGTTTTTTAAACCATTGAAGATTCATTTAATCGTTGATTTATTCAAACTCGACTTAAGTTTCGTATCTCGTAACTGTAAATATCCGTATACCACTAATAACATATTCATGTTCCATATATATATATATATGAAATCATTGAAAAATTTAATCATCATTAAATTATATTTATGTTTCAACAACTTTTGATCGAGGTTGACCATGAAGTGGAAACAATTACAGGGAAAATTCACCATTCAACTTTCTTCTTGAATATAACTTACACTGTACTTTACCAATACACAGTGTATACATCTGACTTTCCGAATATCTCAGATTTTTAAAAAGTATTTGATTCCATTATCGATATCCATGGCTTAAACAAATCATATAGTACTGATATCTCTTTTAAATCTGCAAGTCAAGCTATATTTGTCTGTTTTGCAATTTTTTCATTGTACTTCCCGTGATTCATTATAAGAATCGCTCTATTGATCATTAAACATTAATTGTGTTCAAATTTGCGTCAGTTTAATTTTGAATTAATTTATAAACCATAGTTAATATACCGTTTTTTAACATACGGATTATTTTTTGATGTGATAATCATTTTGAAATTCATTAGAAATTCTTAGCTTTATGCTCTTTCATGTATTGAAACAACGTGTACATATGTCATTTTTTTAACTTCCGTTTATTTTTATATTTCTGTATGGTTGACATATTTTTCTCCCTCATACACAGTAGTAATGCATGTTGTCGAAACAAGTTAAACAGCACAATCTTATCATCAAAAGATTCAGCATATATGACTGTATAGATTGATTAAATCTGCTGATTTTCTTCATAAATAGAGTGTATACATTGTACGGACTTTGTTGTGGACAGTACTTCTATCCGGTCTAAATTTAAACATTATCTGGATGACATTCAAACTTTTAGAATACCAAAATGCGTATACAGTGGAAGCGGATAATTGCGAATACCTGCAAAAGCGTCCATGATAATTTTTTGGGAAAAGCTAGTAAATGTGGACGATTGGTCGGAACTGTGAAGGTCTTGCTTTCTCGTAAAATAGGTACTTGGTAATGAATTTTAATACAACTGTTCAAGATCTGTTCAATATGATTTGATTGATATACAAATATGAGTAAGGATTAAGGCCATTTGAGGACTTGAACCAAATTGGATGGCCGATGTAGCTCCATATAGCACTGATATCCTAGGTCCCAACCAAGTTAATAATTGGTTATAGATTGGTTCTAACATTGACGGTTTTAGCGATGAAAGGCGTTTTTAATTGAGAAAACGTGTTCAAAAGGTTTTTTTGTTTGATTTGATATTGATACACCTATGACAAGAGATAGAGGCGTGTTAAAAAATACAGTTAAATGGACACGAGGAAAACAAAAGATTTATTGTATTTAATGCAGTTTTCACTTGCCTACTAATTCACGCGTCTTGCGTATCAAATTTTAATCCTCGTATCTTTGATTATATACGAGGGCAAACAAACGCTCATCAACCACATTTATCTCATTATATATTTTATAATAAAATTGAGGTCAATTAATTGCCTGTAACCATTGATAGATATACCAGGTCGAAATAAAAGGCAGCCATATTCTTTTTTTTTTTTTGGCTTTTATTTTATGATATCATGTTTTTATTTCATTTGTGTATTTTTTTATGTCAATTAAATTAATCCGTTTGTTGCGTCGGGTGTTTTTTAGAAATTATTTACATGGGCTTATTGTATGTTTCTCAATTAATAATTGCTGTACCGTGAGTAATATGTAGGTAGGTGTGTTGTTATAAGCTGTCATTTTGGTCTTTCGTCGTTCGGTCTTTAGAAGAGAGTGATCGTAATTGTAATAAAACCAATATGCTTATTCGTAAATAAGAAAAAACAACAAAGTCGTCTCCAGTCAGGTTCTGTTTTATTCACATGAAAAAAATAATTTGTTAGTGTATAGAAAAATAAAATGAAAAAGCAATTACTTCCAAAAAATATTTAATTTACTCGAAGGATCTCTTAAAAATATATATATTGAATTAAGGTAATATTTCAAAGTTATTAGCTTAAAATACATTATATCCGTATCATCCGACTACTATCCGTCTATTATGAAATTTCAAAACCTTTTTGATACTGATACTTTTAACTGATAAATGCATCACAATTCATTGCTTAATTCATATTTTAGTAGTACCTGTTACTTTCCACATCAGAGTATGTCTCAATGTAGAGCAATCATTAAAAGGAGGATATTATAAAGAAAAATCCATTCTTGAACAGCAGAGAGAAGTTTTGTCTAACCACTTGGAACGGTTGAATGACGCCTTGAAGGGCCCCTTTTCATTTAGACGCGCAGAATTGAATGGCGGGGTGCTCTATATAGATAGAGCTAACCACACAGACCCATGGAGAAGCAATGTGACAATAATACATAATTATAACATGTATAGCTGGATGACATTTTTTGTTTGTGCAATGGTTTCATTGTTTTTCATATGAACAGAATTATGAATCTAAAAGTATTGATTTAGGATTGGTTTTTTGTTAAATGGTAAAAAAATATTGATTGAAGAAGTTTCAAATATATGCATTTTTTTTTTTTTTTTTGGGTCTAATTGTTTTAATGTTTCTGTTATTTTTTGATCGATCCTGTTTGTTTTTATATATTTATTTGTAACACGTAGCAAAGCTTACACGACCAATTAATTAACTATTTTATTTTCCTGATTACTTATTTTCGTGAAATTTATTAAATTAGATGCAATCCTTCAAGACATCATACAAAATCTGGATTTATCAGACAGATGATTTTGTTCTTGATCCGAAAACCGACCGACTATAAACGCAGACAATGCTTAGAGTAAATCAAGATCTATATATTTGTATCAAGCCGAGGTGGTCGAGTGGTCTAGCGCGACGGGCATAGTGCAAGGCGATTTGGTGCCACGATATCTCAGTAGCCTGAGTTCCAATCCCGGTCAGGGAAGAACAAAAACGGATTACAAATGTGTCGAGATTTGTGATTGGATAACAACACAGAGATGTCAGTATATATTCAGGAAAATGCCGGGGTATATACGACGTGTTTTTTTAACCCAATTGGAGCCTATACAACGTCATCATAACAAACGTCACTATGTGACGTAGTCTTAAACTATACATAACGTCAGAAGCTCACAGAGTGAAAATAATGACGTGTGTCCGTCAATAACACGTTTTAAATTTAAAATCAGGTGATTTACACATAAAATACTTAATTAGCGTTTTAAAGTGTTATTACAAACTATTGTACACACGATAGAATTATTTTCACAGCAAATTACAAAATCCCTTACGTATGCGGAAAATATATATACTGCATGGTAAATGTTAAACGAATACATGGTACTCGAAAAACCATTAAGGTAGGGGTAATCGGTAATATATGTGTAAATAATGTGACATTCTCGGCTTAGAATTTATATTCCCTAAGCCGGGAATGTCACATTATATACCCTGTCTGAGACCTGAATAATATAAACCGATTCCAAATACAAAAAAAAACAAGTGTGTGTTTTTAAATAGCAGGCACAAACTACTTTGTCAGAGTTGTCTCCTATAAAAGGTATCTATTATAATCAACCTTTCGAATTTGCGTATTTAAGCATTTTCTTATATAATTGGCACCGCTTTACCGCAAACAGCTTTTTGTTTGTCCAATGACAATTAAACGGAGATTATTTAGCCACAACCTAATTGTCAGGACCATGTACTATAAAATGATTTACTCATTGGCATTAAATTATTATATTATAAGAAATGGATATTTGTTCTGTCTTTTCGAAATAACCTCAAAAACGCTACGCGTCCACCACATTTTTGATGTTATTTCTTCATAGACAGAAGAAATGTTATAGTCGTTCCTTAATTGAAGACGACCAGAAGTTTATTACACAATGACAAACAGTGACTATTGTTAACTTTTGATGATTGGAAAAAATTGAAATTGAAAACAAACTGCAATGCCAAGGGAAAAAAACGAAATTCGACCAAAAGAGGGATAACAGAAAACACTGCGCAACATAGAAAACTAAACACTTAGCAACACGAATCCAACCAAAGAATAGAAAAAAATTAGACCAATAGACCTTTTTATAAATATTCAACGGCACTTTTTTTCTTGTAGGATGCTGTGAAAATCACAGAACGTATTTTCCAGGACATGTTACACAGGTTCTACAAATCAGGACGAAAACTCCTTGTTGTTGAAACCTGAAAGCTATATCATACGCTTAAGAATATTCTGTTGATGATGTAGTATATTTTTTTCTTTGCCATGAGATGTTCTTGAACATAACAAAAACAGAAAAGTCGAATGATAATCAAACTTTTTTTGTTTCCATTTATAGGATATACTTCCGATTTTTTTCATTATTATAAGGACTTTCTACTTTGTATACATTTGAAAACAAATAGTAATTTGATGGAATGCTTAAAAATTCATGTCTTCCTCTCTTTTTGCAAAGAATACATTTATATGAATCTCTACACATCAAAAGATAATTCATAGTTCTTACTTTTAACAAATACACCTCTTATGTAAGCTTTTATGCATTTATCATGAATTGTGTTACATAGTCGTTCTGAAAATCATATATTGGTATATGGAAAACATTTCGTTGGGTAGAATGCATTTGATACACACAAATGTATATTTACATAAATCTAGAAACGCAAAATCTGTTATAATAAAATAATAATCATAGTTAAGAGGTTAAATCAACCCACACTACATTAATATTTCCTTAAAGCCACATAATCGTTTCTATTCTTAGCTATTGTAATTTGTGCGTTCTGTTCGTGCGATGTTTTTGGTTTTGATTACTGTTTTGTTATTCACAAGAGAATGTTATGGTAAGGAAAATATACTACATCATCTAAAGAATGCATCTTACCGTAAACCGTCTTAGCACTGGTCATTAGAAAACATGTAAATTTATTTGCGATAACACTATTCGTTTTTCTTTTGTAACGTCCATTAGACCACGAAAATGTTGCAAAGCATGAAAAACAAAGGGTCTGAAAAGTAAAGCCATTGTATTTGATTTAGGAAGTTGCAATTTAAGTTTCAGAACAATTTTCTAATCCTATGACTGGAAATTAAAACACAAACAGCTTCGTGTAGATAAAGATGATGTCTCTACAGTGTATTGAATCGCAGCAGATGCTGAATAACCGATTAATAGTTTAAAAAAGATCGATGACGGTTTACATCATCACGCAAGTTTTCTGAATAATACTACTACTGCTACCCTTAATACTAAAAGCTTGCAAACCAAAAATTTAATTCAGCATTAAATCATTAAACTATTAGGAATTATTTTTATGAATTTGAAATAAAAGACAAACTGCATCATTTAACCATGCTAGTATCATAACACTAGAGAAATGGGCTTACGCCAAAGATACCATGGTGATCCATTTAATGTTGGGAATACCATTGACATTAAGCATACCTTTACACCTTTAATGTGAAGTACTTACTAAATTTAAATGGTTTTAAAAGATTTAACTGTTTTTAAAAATAAATTGGACCACTGTCTGTCCTTAAAGAGTAGACTAACGTTTGGACAACGTGATTTAAAGTGTCTATTTATATAAGGTCCGAGGGCTCAGTAACGAGTGCTGAATAAGTTAATAGAATCTATAAATTTTTCATAGGTGTAGAGTGTATCAAATGTACAGACGCTTTCTTGAAGGGATCGTCTGTCCCGTTTGTACTACAGCATTTTGATTCAACAAACAGAAATCCAGAATGTGAAAAAGCACAAATAGCTAAACCGGTTTCAGGCGTTTCTTTGCAAAGTTGTACGGATGCTCCTGATCACGATCAAGTAAATAAGTGTGGAAGATTGGTAGGAACAGTGAATGTGTCCATACGTCACCAACTTGTCGATATAAAAGGTACTGGTTTAATATTAAACAAAATAACACTTTATATATTTCATGCATTCGAAGCGCTTTCTTCGTTCAACCTTCATCAGTAGCGCTCAACCAAAATTGTAGATAAAATTTTTTTGGAAAATGTTAATATATGACCAGGTGAGACGTTACATAACTTTATTTTTAAATGACAGGTATGTTGCAATCTTATTATTTTTGTATACCTGGTACCTCAAAAACAAAAAAACAAAACAAAACAAAAAGTCTGTATAGCTACTTTTTTACCAGGTTTAATCCTCCATTTTCTACATAATGGCATGTCTGTACCAAGTCTCGAAGATGACAGTTGTTTCCATTCGTTTGATGTGCCATTTTCTAAAGCAATTTTCATTTTGTTTTTCCTTGGAGTTCGGTATTTTTGTTTTTTTTTTTTTTTTTTTTTTTTTTTTGGTAAGCTCATTTTCCATCGCACACATTCTTAGCCCGATTACACATTTTTTAACTGCATGTTCTAATAGGTATGGACTTAAAGTAGAATCCTGTTCCTATATTTTTTGGTTTTTGATTTTGGCACTGCTTGACATAAACTAAACCATTTAAAAGTATTTAAAATTACTATGAGCATTCAAAAATCACAATGGCTAATAGAAATGTGAACTAAAGGAGAAAATATAAGTCAACACAACACAGCCAAAAAGTTTGGGTGAACCAATGTTCTCCGGAAGGGCAATCTAGTATAAAAATTAGACAGAAGTTCCCAAATGGACAGTTGTCTATTTTGAAATTCGACACTAACGTTAGTTTGGATGATTAAATATAAGAAGATGTGGTATGAGTGCCAATGAGACAACTCTCCATCCAAGTCACAATTTGTAAAAGTAAACCATTACAGGTCACGGAGCCTTGGCTCACACCGAACAGCAAGCTATAAAGGGCCCAAAAATGACTAGTGTAAAACCATTGAAACGGGAAAAACAACGGTCTAATCTATATAAAAAACGAGAAACACTCATGAACCACATCAACAAACGACAACCACTGAACATCAGGTTCCTGACCCAGGACAGGTGCAAACAAATGCGGGTTTAAACGTTTTAATAGGTACCAACCTTCACCCTGACCTGAAACAATAGTGTAACATCACAACATAGAAAGACACACTATAAAATATCAATTGAACTGGCTTAACTCAATCAAAAGACATATGAACACAAGTGAACATACACTGAACGAATGAATTTGATCTATGACACAATGTAAATACAAAATTAATAAAATAAGGGGTGAGATGTTAAACAATTTCAGAAAGACAACCATAACCTTGAACAAAATGCCGCCAAATAGAATAATGTACACAGGTAAATGAAAATAATTTTGTTGTTAGGTATACAGTAATGGAGAACGGAAATATTTTTTACAAAATAAATAATTTTGTTGTTCATAGTAAGTGAACAAAAGTGAAAATTTATGGTCATACCAAACACTTATCAAAGCTGGTATATATGAAAAAAAATAGAGAGTACACTAAATAAGTAAACATTAAATAAAAAAAAAGCATTACAAATTGTATCAACAGGTAAACACGATTTGAGAGTACTCGCATTTACTGAAAGCTAGTTAAAAGCCAAAAACAATTAATAATAAAAAATCATGCATCAGAGACTAAAATCAACTAAAACACATCCCAGGGATTTAGTATTTTAACGTCATGGACAGTCAAAGAAGACATGACTTGTGCAATGCCAAAAATAAAAGTATTGACAGGCAGTAGGATAATTGGGAGTTAACCTCTATACAGAAAAAAAATGAACGTGGATGTGTATTTATACATCCCGTTTGAAAAGAATACAAATTTAGTTATGTTTTAATTTGTTGATGACAAAATCGATATTTGTGCCAATGTAAACTATATTCAAAAATCTAATTACAACATTGGTAAGATAACCTTTCCTTATAAGTTTGTTTAAAGGTTCGATGAGTTTACACTTATCACATAGTGATTTCCGCGGTTTAAGTACAATATTACCGTAACATTTAGGATGTGAAATACCGTTTTTAATAAGTTTTCTACATGTACAGCCAAATTAACTTATCAAATCTGTGTATCTATGAAAGAATTTAGTAAAAGTTTTAAGTAATTTATGGTAACGAAATCCCTGACTTAATAATTTACCAGTGATGCATTGATAAGGTTAAAATCTATGACATCACTACACACACGGGCATAACGAACGAGTTGGGATATATAAACACCGTATGATGGAGCCAAAGGAACATCGCCGTCTCAAAGAGGGAAATTAACAATAGGGAATCAAAACTTGTCTCTTTTGTCGTAAATTTTAGTATGGATTTTCCCTTTAGAAATTGAAATGTCTAAATCTAGAAACGGACAACTACTGCTGTTTATTTTAAATTTAGTTAAAGTAAGTTCCTTTGGGTAAATTTCTGTTGTATATTTAGAGAACTCTGTATTATTTAGCGAAAAAATATCATCAAGATAACGGTAGGTATTGTTGAATGTATCAACCAAATGTAACAATGGCGTGTCTTTACTGAGTGTGGTCATAAACTGAGATTCAAAGCAATTCAGGAATAAATCTGCTATTAAAGGGGATTGCATGTTTTGTTAATAAAAGCAATTCTGTTGTTTTTGCAAACGATCACGCCGTTTTACCTTTGCTTGAGAGTTGACTCGATTGTCATTTTAGAAATTTAAAATAACACGACCGAAAAGTTTTTTTTGGATTTAAATTTAAAAAATTCATCAGGAACGCTTAAAGCCAAATCATTGAAGGTCAAAAATGTATCAGTACCTAGAGACGTTTTTAATTGTGTACAAGGAAACCAAAACCGTCCAAGAACAATAAATAAAGAAGTCAGTTAAATTATAATGAGTGTTGAAAATACAACAAAATCCCAAGACATACTTATCATCTACATTCCCGGCACATGATCAGCTAGAAACTTTCTTAATATGAAATAGTTGTACGTTTTATTCAATTTCAATTTCAGATTGAATTTTCTCCTATTAACCCCAATATTTGCATTGGTCCAATTGAAATAATATTAACTTAATAGTCAATTTTCCATGTAAACTATAGACTCAGTTCTGACAATTGAAAGGTATTTTTTAAAGTATCAACGTTTGATTAGTATTTGGTTTTCTTTTAAACAAATGTCTAGCGACAATCACAATCATATTTCTATTGTAGATTTTCCTATACATTTCCACATCAGAGGATGTCTCATCGTAGAGAAGTCATTTATAGGAGGATGTTATCGAGACAAACGGATCATTGATAAGCAGAGAAGTGTTGTGTCTAACATCTTCAAAGAAATAATTTCTTTAAAAATTGGAGAAGTTGAAGCACAATTTTGTGTAAATAAAGCCAACAACTTAAGTACATGGGAAACTAAGGTGTCAAAAGCCAACAACTTAAGTACATGGGACACTAATGCGTCAAAAGCAAACAACTTAAATACATGGTACCCTAATGCGTCAAAAGAATACTTATTGAGGGTTACTTCATATGTTTGTGTCATAGTTTTATTCTTTTTATAAATAAAATTATTACATGATTGTAAATCAGAAAGATGGATCATTTATAAATCCCTTCAAACATTTCAGTTATTTGATTGGCTGTTCAAAACACTTCAATTGTCCGATCAATCAACGGAAATTGAATGCAATTTTGTCATAACATATTTACTATTTATAGGTATAAGAAGATGTGGTATGAGTGCCAATGAGACAACTCTCCATATAAGTCACAATTTGTAAAAGTAAACCATCATAGGTCAAAGTACGGCCTTTAACACGGAGCTTGGGCTCACAGCGAACAGCAAGCATTAAAGGGCTCCAAAAATGACTAGTGTTAAACCATTCAAACAGGAAAACCAACGGTCTAATCAATATAAGAAATGAGAAACTCGTATGAACCACATTAACAGACGACAACCACTGAACAACAGGTTCCTGACTTAGGGCATGTGCAAACAGCGGGTTTAAACGTTTTAACAGGCGCCAACCTTCACCCTAACCTGAAATAAAAGTGTAACATCACAACATAGAAAGACTCATATAAAATATCAATTGAAATGGCTTAACTCAATCAAAAGACATATTAACAATAACAAGTAAACATACACTAATCGAATACATTTATTTATATTCACTGTTTTTTTTTTTAAAGCGTATTCGTGAGATTTGTATCGCAAATCTTTGGACTTTGTTTCTACCGATGCAGGATTCTCTCAACTTCATTGACAAACAACGAATATCATTCAAAAAAATCAAATTGTTAAAATGAAAATTATCTTTTCAAATTGAGCAGGTTTTCTCAATATCAAATATAAACATTATATAGGTGCACTTTGTAAATACAGCTGTTTCACAAACCATGCCTCTTTTGAGTAATTTAATATTCATAGATATTTTGTTTTGTTTACCTACTGGTCCCCAGATATCATCTGTATGCTTTATCTCGTAACGACACAACTTGAGAATGTTACCAGTATAAATACAGATCGATAGCGGCCAAATTGAATTCACTGGAAGACCCATTGAGAAGGGATTGGAAGTACTGAATTTTAGTATAATTTTTAACTCATAGAAGTTCGAGGCATATACATGTTGAAAATAGCATAGCCATATGTTTTGACCTTTGAAATAGTAGTGCATATACCATTTCCATTCTAGGATATAAATTTTACGAAACTTCATAGTAAAAGTGGCACAGTTTTAGCCGTTAAAGGGGTTCCTATGGGAAATTGCATTGTCTAAATTTACGGAAGTGCAACCTATAATATGAATCAAACTTTTTTTAAGTACTGCTCACTGTTTACAGCTATCTTTAGAATTAAAAAAAAGGTACAAAAGCGACGTGAGTGTACATTTTCATTTATAAGCTTGAATGTAAAATTGTCTGCTGGTGTGTCCAATGTTTCTTCTTTTTCTGTTTCTTGAGAAGGATTTGTTCACACGGTTCAGTCACTCTCATGTGTTACAATTCATACTAAGTCACAACACATCAATAGTAACTAAAAGGGGACCGCCACTGCATGGGAGAATCTAAAACAACAAAAAATATACACACATCCGACATTTTTGTGGGACTATCATATAGAGATAAGGAGATGTGGTTTGGTTGCTAATTTATAGACAGCTATTTATAGACCAAAGATCAAATATGTGAACAAATTGCAGGTTACAGTAGGACCTTTAACGTTGCATATTTCTGGTCCGGGTTGAAAAATAAATGTCTTGACTTTGCAAAAACTGCTAAAAGCGAATACAGGTTGATTTGCATCCATTAAAATATTTGAAATAATTATGAGGTTGACAAGAAACTAGCTTTCTGATAAACTATAGACTCCTTACTCACACCTGCATTTTTTTAAAGTATATTTTTACACAGTCTTTCATTCCATTTTTATTGTCCATCTGAACAGTCAATCTCTAATCTCTCATTAAAACAGAAAATAAGTAAACATATATTATTAATGGTGTTAACCACCTTCTATTATTTCTATATTAGCGTTCAACTCCTTGCAACAAAACATGAAGTGTGCCAAGAAGGCAAGTCCCGCGTCCATAACTAAAGTTCATGCATATTAATCTTTGTGCGAAATGTTCATCGCAATATTGCTATTTGTTTAACACTTGTAAGACATATAACGTAATAATTCCTTTTAAATATATAACTGCTTTTGGTTTTTCTGACGATTGGTTGCACTATCACGGTCGAATGCGTCTCTTGTTTCTTTTATTCATATGAAATGTTCTTTCGAATTTTCGGATAACAAAAAATAAATGAGAACCCTATGCGGAATTGTGCCATTTAATGTGAGTATTCATATTTGATATGGAAATTATTTGATAAATTTTAACAAAATGAAGGCCGGTTTCAAAGATATCAATTTATTTTTTTAAATACAAACACAGCAAGTACATTGCATATTCCAACAAAAATTAGCAGCAACACCAGCTACATAACCATACATGTCCTATTCTTGCAGGAAATCATAAGAAAGGTCCACCCATTGCTAAATTAATAGCTAGTATGCATGGAAAGTTAGAAGAGAAACAGATATAGATATATGGATATCAAATATTTTTAACTAACAGAATGTTGCTTAGTGCAAATGTTTAATCTTTTAAATGAAAACGTTGGTTCTCGTCCCTGATAGACGTGAGATATTTGTAATGGGACACTTAGCAAACTGCAATAAATCGAATGAAATATGAACTCTCCAATTTATTCAAGAGTTTTGAATTAAATATTCATTACTTGATTGCACAAAATATCTCTAACAATCGAATATTAAAAAACATTCATGGTGCATTTACATTAAGGTAGGCCTTGGTAAACCCAAAATGTTCTTCTCTTTTAATTTTTCTTATATTTACACCATTGAAAAAGAAGGGGTCCATGCATCATTTGCCAAAGTTGAAATTCATCGTTGCATTTTATGTTTAGGGTACATTTAATAAGACCAGTTTTTGGGTACCATAAACAAAAATTCCATAAACACTAGTAGTCATATATTATTGTATGTTTTGCACATGTTCCCGTCAGAAAACAATTATTGGTTAAAAGCCTGGAAAATCACAAACATTTATTGAATTTGACTATTTTAAATTTTCAAAATCTTTTAAACAAGCTGGCTTACAGGCACAAGAAAAAGGATTTTGTTTTTGACAAAATTCATTTTCCCCCACAAAACCTTCAACAGTCTCTCTTTGCAAAGACATACAGTTAAGTAAAGCCTATTAACCAATAGCTTAGCAATAAAAATGTAATTAACAAGGGCGGAAGTGGATTTTTCTACATTGGCACATTAAAACATTGTATGATACGTAGCACTTAAATCCAAGTTTAGCTGAGTGTTTTTTTTGTACAGATCAACTTCATGTATTATTTATGTTAGGAGTTGTCTGCAAAAGAAGACAATTTCTAAACTCCTAAAAGAGAGCTGGGTTGCAAATATAAACATTTAATTCTTATCACTTTTAAAAAGGGATAACCCTGGGGTATGGGAGACAGCTCTTACAAATGTATTGGAAGACATTAGTTCGTTTTAGATTTGCAGTACTTGAAACAGTGATCAAGCATTTATGTTGTTGACATTAGGCTGTGAGACAGATGCAGGGCGATCTAGGAAAGTTAGACACCATCAGGCATAGAATTAAGGAACTACATTTTTTTTAAAGCTTCAATACTCAAATCAAAAGCTGAAAAGGTAAAATTACCCTTCATACACGAAATACTTCAACATGTAAACAATCCTACTGTGAAGACTTAGGGATCTTGTTTGAAAACTGTAGGAGAAGTTGAAAACGTGTACTCCCTTTTATACGTTTGGCTGATCAATGATCAAGTCTAGAAAAATAATAAAAAATCCTAAAACAACTCGCGTAGAAAATTGTAGTCCTGGTGTCTATGATGAGTTTATTTCAATAATATAAGTGCACAACTTCAAAATTATCTTTCTTACTTTCATTGAAGTTTAAGGGATCTGGGTTGCAAACTATGGGAGTTGATAACATCAAACTTGAACCGGATTTCATTAGTTTCGCTGAAAAGACCTAGGTTCCCAGGTCTGAAAAGATAGGGAAAAAATCCCCAAACAATTCCATAAGAGCAGATGCACAACTTCAACACATGTTCAATGTACATAATGAACACTGTAGGAGAGTTCAGGGATTTGGGTTGAAAACTGTTGGAGAAGTTGATGTCAAAAAACCTCTTTTAACTATTTTGCCAAAAAATAGACTAAGTTCTCAAGTCTTGAAAAGGAGAAAACAATCCTCACACTTTCCATAATAGAAGATGCACAACTTCAACATATGTGCAATCTTCCTGTGAAGTTTCATGGATCTGGGTTGAAACTGTAAGAGCCGTTGTTTACACAAATCAGGTACCCGCTTTTCCCCCGACCGAAAATTACCATACTATAAGCCAATTTTGGACTTCGACCAACCCGGCAAAAATGTAGGAAGTGAAAGTTTAAAATCCTTTGTATTGATCTATTATTGTCGAAGTACTTCCTTCTCTTATTCAAACGAATAATTGTGATTATTCCAAATAAATATAACATATGATTCCGGATTAGTCATTTTACATTGTTGAATGATATAAAACATGATATATAATTTTCCTGCTATAGCTGTTTGTATTAGAAATGATGTTTAAACTAATTGTCTTGTTGGTAAGCATGGCTTCGGTTTTACATCGAACAACAGGTAAGCTTTTAAATATATTTAGATCCCGATGTTTAAATTATCATGTTCAAATATTGTCAAATTTAACTTTAAAGTGAAATTAGGTTAGTTGCCATGGTTATTTAGTGTTGATTAAGTGCATCCACGATATTTGTTTCAATTTATTAAGGATACTTTAACTCGCATCTATTACCTCTCTGAACTAATGCTGATCTCAACATATCGACCGTGTTTTAACTGATGAATGTCTTATTTAGAAATATTTTTTTCATTCTGATGTTACTCCAATAACCATCATTGTGTTTCATATCCGAAAACAATTGTTTATGTGTTTTTTTCGTTGTATTCACACATTTCATGTCACAAAGTAAACAGGAAGCGGAAGTTATCAAAGGGACAGCAAGATTTATAAGTCGAAGAGAAACGACAAAATAATTGCAAATCAAAATGGAAACTACGAAAAGACAAACCACAGTATACAAATTATCAGTTTACTGTAAACTAAAGACTGCGCAAGATGAACCCAACCGGGTTTCCCCAAAATCACAGTTACAACAAGTTCTGAGATATGTCCATTTCGTTTTTAAGGACCTAACCATTTATAAGTCTCCTTTATTCAATATGATTTCAAGTTTTGCAAATATGCCGCGTTTTAATGATTTGGATTCAAGATTAATTTATATGATATGAAATAAGTTTGATTTTTGTTTTTTTTAGGAATGCACTGCGTCCTTTGTATTGATGTCAAATCTAATCTCAGTGCTGCTCATAATGTAAAAAATTTCCAAACATATATTGACAAAATTTCGAATTTAAGAAAACCAGAATGTGTTAATGCAAACACTAATGCAGCAAACACTAACCTCCTCTCGTGTAAAACATCTTCAGATCAACAAAGAGATCAAACATGTGGGACAATCAACGGGGAAGTAGTCCTGCGTCAAGGATACTTTGAAGTAGGTAAGTATTTTTTCGACCATGCAAAGTAACAACTCTATAAAAACTGTATTCTGTAATAAATCCCTGAATGTACGTCGGTCGTTTTCTAACTATTTACCTTACTCGCTTTTGTCCTAATGAATTTACAATTTTGTTAAAAGTGTATCTTAAATGTAATGTTTGTATCATGAACTCTTGATTGTAAGAATTCCAACAGATGAAAACTCATTAAACATAGATGATGACAACCATAATTTGATGAACCAAATTGTGAAGAACTTAAATTCATTATTTCATCAGTGGTGCTCTAAACAAAATATTCAAGATTTTGAACAGGTATGCGTAAAAAAAATAAAGTGGGACGACAAAACTACCCATGAAACTGCTGTTCGGCAACAAGAAAAAGCAAGATGTAGGATATAACCTTGGTATAAACATGAGTTTCTCTGAAATAGTAATAACGAACTTTTACATATTGTTTATTACAGATATACCTACGACAGTTATTATCAGCGGATGTTTATATGTTGAAAATGGAACAGATGCTGAATGTTACACAGATCTGAATATGTTAAATGAGAATAGAGAAATCCTAGTAAACTTTCTAAACGAGGAAATAGGAATTCTGCCAATGCAAACCGGCAATTTCACTAAAGGACAGATTTGTATTATAAGGCCGCCTTATGAGACAAGGGGTAATGAAGAGGTAATGAACAAATCGGCGCCAATAGCTACTGGATATGGCAAGAATACATCCGTGATATCTAAGTTCAAATTTCTTTTGACATTGTCAACCATATTAGTCTACTTTGCTGTATTATAGAATTACAATTTTCAAAACCCGTTGGTATTGACAATACTCAGATTTTATAAATTACATATTTTTGCATGTGTAATAACTTTTGGAAATATGTAGGTGCATCAGTGTGTGATTGTTTTCTGGGCTTCATAAATATTTTTAAATTGTGTATTAATATTTCTTGTTTACTGACATATCTGTTTTTGCTCCGTAACTAAAATTACTCTTAGACATCGACATAAAGGATAATTGATATTCAAACAATGAAGCAAACAAAACAAAAGATTGCTTTGCACTCTGTAAGATTAAGATGCATTGCAGCATCTCTTCCCGATTGTTAACTTTACATTTTTATGTAGCAACATTTCCAAGAACGCCTGCATACGAAATATTTCCAAGTCGATACGACGAATCATGGCTTGTATTTCCTTATAATGATTTCTTTGATAGAGGGTTGCTGCTCACGAGCATGCCATCAAAACAAGAGTTCCAAGTGGTAAGGATCAAATCATCCATTTGAAAATCTTACGGACGCCATCACGAGTTGGTTGACCGTTATGTAATATCTGCATTATCTGCTTACCCTTCCAAAGCACCTGAGATCACCCCTAGGTTTTGGTGCTGTATGTGTTTCTCAGTCTTTAGTTTTCTATGTTGTGTATTGAATGTTATTGTTTGTCGGTTGGTCTTTTCCTTTTTAGCCATTGTTAATTCATTTTCGATTTATGAGTTCGAATGTCCCTTTGGTATCTTTTGCCTCCCTTTTTAATGGGTTCGTAGAGGGAATTTTGTTAGAAAGATTTCTGTATCAGTGACCCTTACTATAAATTGACCGGATGGTGAGAACAATGAAGAACGAGGATAAAAACTTATACCAAGGTCAAAATTAAGAAACCTGGGTGATTGTGATGTCGGAACCGACCCACTTTTCTCATATGACTTTAATGAATTTGAAATTTATTACTTATCAGATAGTTAGATCTCCTGGGTTATGTTTATTATACTGAACAATATTGATGCTATCTCAGCTGAATTGAAATTGACAATTGTGAGGTTTTTTAGGAAAACATTTAGGATGTGAGTGCACATTTCTTTGCTCGTCACAAAAGAGAAAACTGGCCAAAAAGTAGGGACTAATCTATCGAAAGCAGTAAATGCTGTCTTGTCTTTAAACGAAATAACGATTTTATAAATGGTATAAGTAAAAGCATTTAAGGCTTGACCATTGCAGTTTTTTGCAAGTTCATACTAGTGAAAAGTAAAATAACAAAAATACCGAACTCCGGGGAAAATTCTAAACGGAAAGTCCCTAAGCAAATGGCAAAATCAAAAGTGCAAACACATCAAACGAATGGATAACAACTGTCACATTCCTGACTTGGTACAGGCATTTTCTTATGTAGAAAATGGTGGATTGAACCTTGTTTTATAGCTAGCTTAACCTCTCACTTGTATGACAGTCGCATGAAATTCCATTATTTTGAAAACGATGTGTGAACAAAACAAACAGACATAATAGGTAAAAATGTCAAACATAGGAATAAAGCAGTCAGCATTGTGTCATTATAAGAACAAACAAATATGTAACAAAGAAACACAACAAGGCATATAGACAAAGCACAAAAGCAAAAATGAAAGACAAGAATACAAAAATTTACCATAGCACAATAACACAATCACGGGATGTATAAGTACAGAGCTACGTCAAATGGATATCACCAAAAACAGACTAAACAGTAAAAGTAATATTCATAAAGACAAATAAAGGAATACAATAACACGTTATTAAGATGATAAACAACGTCATTACCTAGAATCTATACTTCAAGACTATCGTGTATTATTTGTGAAGTTGATACGGAATATTTATCAACGAGGTCTTGGTACCTTCCGATGAACTTTTTTAGAAAAAGGACGAGACGTTCTTTGACATACCCCTGGTTCATCAACTTTCTACTCATACAATAACTGAGAGTGCTGTTATATCAGTACTCTGTGACTTATTTTTTAAAGGTTTGATGTTTCATAAAATTCCATTATATCGACAAGAGATTCACAAATCTATAATGGAAAGCATGGTACATATGGTCAATCTCGCCAATCAGTTGGTCATTAATAAATAGTCGTTGGAATTATCCATATCTAAACGTCAAGTATCAGACTTCATTAGCCTGGTTGGCAATGCATTCTATAATTTGTCCATGCAAAGGCGTTACGATATCAGAAAATATCTTTTCCCATTTATCAGAGAATTTGTTTCCATGATTTACCAGTTCATGCATGCGCAATCACTTTGGTGAAAATGTTAAGCAAAGAATTAAGGAAACCAGGAAATCATACTAAGATCCCCATTGCCACTGAAGCTTATCGGCTTTAATAGGAAACTGTCCAGAAGTGAAAACTTGAGAGGCTCCAAACTCTAATTTTTCCACTCAAGATGCATAAAGCCGAATCTAAATTTTGGGAAAATTTTGGGTTTTTTTTTTTTGCTCTTCTACTTGTTCGTTTTTGAGTTCTTTTTTTCAACTTTTTTATAAGGGTGTCACTGATGGGTGACAAGAGAGACGAAATGCACGTCTGATGTTTGATACGGTGCTTTTTGTCCGACATTTGCTTTTTGTTCGATAATTTTGCTTTTTGCCCGGAACTTTTGCTTTTTGTTTGTTGCTTTCGGTCTGTTTTGCTTTTTGTCCGATAATTTTGCTTTTGGTCCGACACATTTGCTTTTTGTCCGTTGCTTTCTGTCCGTTTTATTTTTTTAGCTCACCTGGCCCAGAGGGCTAAGTGAACTTTTCTCATCACTTAGCATCCGTCGTCCGTCGTGGTCGTTAACTTTTTAAAATCTTCTCCTCTGGAACTACAAAGCCAAATTAAACCAAGCTTAGCCTAAATTATCCTACTTTAACAAATTATATCCGATGACCCCGCCCATCAATCAAGATGGCCGCCATGGCTTAAAATCAAACATGGGGGTAAAATTTAGATTTTGGCTTATATCTCTAAAACTAAAGCATTTATACCAAATCTGACATTGATGAAAATGTTCATTATGTCAATTTCTATCTGCCTGAAATTTTAGACGCATCAGACAACCCGTTTTTGGGTGGCTGCCCCTGAATTGGTAATTTGAAGGAAATTTTGCAGTTTTTTGTTATTATCTTGAATATTATAATAGATAGAGATAAACTGTAAACAGCAAAATTTTTCGGTAAAGTAAGATCTGCAAATAAGTCAACATGATCAAAGTTGTCAATTGACCCCATAAGGAATTATTTCCCTTTAAAGTCATTTTTTCACAATTTTTCGTAAATTTTTGTTATCTTTTACAAAAATCTTCTTTGAAACTACAAATTAAACCAAACTTGGCCTTAATCATCCTTAAGGTACTTAGTTTAAACATTTGTCCGATGACCCCGCCCATTAACCAAGATGGCCGCCATGGCTAAAAATAAAACAATTTGGAGAGGGGGGGGTTAAAATGCAGTTTGGCTTATATCTCTGAAACTAAAGCACTTAAAGCAAATATGATAATGGTAAAAATGTTCATCAGGTCAAGATCTACCTGCCCTTAAATTTTCGGACACATTAGACAACCCGTTTTTTGGTTGCTGCCCCTGAATTGGTAATTTTAAGGAAATTTTGCAGTTTTTGGTTATTATCTTGAATATTATAATAGATAGAGATAAACTGTAAACAACAAAATTAATCAGCAAAGTAATATATACAAATATTTCAAATGACCAAAATTGTCAATTGATTCCTTAAGGAGTTATTGCCCTTTAATGTCAATTTTTTATATCTTTTCGTAAAATTTTGTAAACATTTACGAAAATCTTCTTCTCTAAAACTACTGGGCCAAATTAAAAAAAACTTGGCCTTGATTATCCTTAGGGTATCTTGTTTAAAAAATGTATTCGATTACCCCGCCCATCAACCAAGATGGCCGCCATGGCTAAAAAAAAGAGAGTTAAAAATTTTGTTTGGCTTATATAAACTGTAAATAGCAAAAATATCAAGCAAAGAAAGATCAACAAATAAGTCAATTTGACCAAAATTGACAATTGACTTCTTATTGGAGTTATTGTCCTTTAAATATATTTTCTGCAATTAATTGGTAATTTTTGTAAATTTTTTTCAAAAATCTTCTGCTTTTAATTTAACTACTGGGCCAAATTAAACTTAACTTGTCCTCACTCATTATTATGGTATCTATTATGATTTTAACCGTATTTTACAATGATTTCCATACCACAGTAGATATGGTAAAGCGACACAGGCTCTTGCGAGCTTCTAGTTTCTATGTTTGCTTTATTTTCGATTTTGAAATGTTTATAGGCGATATAGTGTTAGAACCATCGATCTTCTGCAGCAAAACTGGCAACACTAGTTAATACAGTCGAGCACACCAGCATGAACTTGAAACCTCAGGATTGACTCTCTAGTGATTAGTAAAGATGAACTACTTCAATCACTTGGCACTTTAAGTAGGGGAAGGGTCTGGTACCAGAAAACATGTTTAGCTCCGACGCATATTATATATGCCTGTCAAATGTTAGGATCTTCAATTTAACAATTCAACAGTTGTCGTTTATCTATCTATCAAAATCGTTTTGAATGGTGTTACATTTGGCATTTCTTTTGGCCTTTTAAACGTACAACAACTTATCCATGGGTGCTTACGTCAACGCCATTTGGTGTTTTGTGGAAAGTTGTCTCGTTAATATGATTAAATACACATAAAGGCGTGTTCTTACAAAGTTTCATGCTTGTATCTCTAATTGCATGATTTCTGTGGTAAACTGCTCAACTATTAGTATATAATCAGATTATTATATGGCATTTTTCATATCAGATGTATTATCAGCCCTCAGTCAATATCGAACCAAGAGCAATGAAAATGATATTTTACGATCTTTCTATCATATGCTTAAACAATGAAGAAAAATAACAGTTTAATCCTCTTAAGCATGTTAAGCGGTTCTCAAGTAGAATTTCAAAAAGTAAAAAGTTAACGGAAGACAGATGCATAATGTAATACATCCGATATAAAATCTTTCTATCATATGCTTCAACAGATGAGAAAAACAACATTCTGTTATGGTTGTGGCCTTTGATGTATTTCTTGCATGAAAAGATATTTCTCTTATCACACTGTACGAAGCGTGATAC